AATGCATTTGTAATTGCTAACGATGAACATATATTTATATTTTGCCTACTTCCATGCTAGAGCATCGGATTAATATAAGCCTTGATCTGAACCCTTTTGGGTGCAGCATCTAGGAGGTCTAGAAATATACCTATTTATTTATTTATTTATAATTTCCATCCACCCATTGCCGTAACTTCAATGGACCATACCTCGTACTCCTGACAAGCATAGCGGGTACAGCCGCACTGAATACTGCTGGACACGCAGGCCGTAATGTGGGTGGCCCCTTGCATTAACTCAGCGATTGCTGCCTGTCCATGACGCGATGCCTGGTCCCTCGCGAGGCAAGTTTGCATCTAACGTACTCATTTCCATGTTGCTATGAACATTGCAACAGTATGGCCGGGACTGCAAAATGGCCAGCACAGCCTTTTGGATTGCCTAAACACTCCGTCGGAAACAGAGCAAAATCAAACGCCGATGGGCGACACACTTCACTCTGTCAGTGACATCCTGCAAAGAACTGCAGGAGTTAAACGAGACAGTAGCGAAAGTGGATATGCGCAACAAATCGGTAAGTTGTATACCTTAGCCCTTAACGTGTAGCAGCAATTTTACCTAGCGCGGTTACGCGGATCCTGTACTACGGAGCGTGCACGTAGATTATTGGAAGTGATCATGACAAGAGCATGCTTCGCTTCCATTAAGTTCTCCGGTGATCATGGAAGCATGCTGTTCAAAAAACGTAGGTGTACCCAGCGGTGCAAGTTGCCTTTCCGACTGAATTTATTAACAATATTTCAACCGTCCTCTTGGCTTGGCTCGCCGAACCCGAGACAGCTAACTCCAACATTACCCAAGCAGTGATACTTTGGCTGTATTACGTCCACTGCTACCCCTGTGCTTCCACAACTCGCACCCAACGGTGCACAGAGGAGCAGGTCTGCAGAGCTCCCTTCTATATGAATCTCGGGTTTTGTTACAGATTACATCACAGGCAACTACTCAAGATTAACGACGTATCTCAGTGAGTGCTATTAGATGTGTTTCTTTGTACAGAAGCAGTGTCATCTGTACATAATACGTAAGTTACCGTTCCTTAATCCAAGGATTTATCACTTTGCAGTGTGCACGCAATGGAGGCAAGGCTTCTGAACGTGATTCTTCGCATTTACACTCCATAAAATAACACAGTCTTCCAGGGGCGGGTTCGTAATGCTAAGTATAATGAACAACTGCTAAGCACGGCTAGCACTGGGTGGCACGTCAATACGTCTTTCTCCTGCTTAAGTTTATCTACTTGCATTGCATAGGTATTACGAAGGCTCGTTAGATCGTGCAAGGTAGGATGGGTAACTTAACATTTATATAAGTTTACCAATGCCGTGTTGTCAAGAGCGCATCAAGCATTGCACTCGGAGCATGTACGTGTGGCAAGTTTGAGAGAGTAGTGCCGATGGGCTGCGCAGCCTTGCAAGCTGATTGGGTAAAAATAGCGTTCGATCTACTTGGCTGGTAATACTTGTATAGGCCAGCTAAACGCACTTTTGCTTTTGGCTAAAAGGTTTACGAAATTTAGAATCGTAAAATGGGAGGCAAAAGCTTAAATTTTTCACGAATTTTCGCAAGGCGGCGTTCGCAATGGACTGTTTTTGGAGTCGTGTTGGATTGCACAACTAAACCGAGACCGTACTCGTGCCGGTTTTCTTGTTTTTCAAGCTCCATTTAATCCTGTCCACTTTACTTGAAGAATAGTCAAACTGGAACTGCGTAGGCTTGTGTCCGACTCACAATCCGCCTTTTGTTCAGTAAGCTCCTCAGTTCTCGGTGCATTTATAGAGGACCTCTGGCCAGCGGTCTACTTTTGTAGACATAATCGACCTGCTCAACGAGCGGAATCATTTTAGAGTACTAGAGATTTCACTCATCGTCTAGGTCCACTGACTTGAGTATACACCAGTCCACAGCATTTGCGGCCGTTTGTAGGCCTTGGAGATCTGCAAGTCAGAAATTTCTGCGGTTGCGACCTCGGTTGTGGAGAGTAAGGCGACGGGTCCAGCGGAATGAAAACACATCGTGATCACTTCTAACAATGAGCTTAAGACCGGCTAGATCAGTGACATTTGCTTGTGCCGGGGAGAGTGAAGAAGAAGTATACGGGGTCTTTGTCCTGCAATTATATCTCGTATATGCTGGAGCAGACAAACAAATGCTGGCTGGCCGAACAACCTCCTCGTGGTGCCAGCTGGGTGGATTGGATTTACCCCTTCCAGCAAATAGTTCGGCGGCAGTGTTCCAGGACGTGGTGGGTTTCCGCCTGGCAAGCGTTCTCCCTATAAAAAGCCACAAATGTCCGCTTAACAACACTGTGACGTGGCGGTTGTGACTCGCCACCAACTAAAGTCACCCATTGCTTATCCGGACGACCGCTTCAAGTCCACAGCCATCAAGCACCCATTTAACACTGGCCACACGTTCAAGCACGATCAAAAAGATTGGAATATATTTACGAACTCCATAAACACGGCTAAACACGCCCACATACACACTTACATACATTTATATAACAATCTATGTGACAATCTCATTGATCCATTGTACATTGACTGATCACAGTTTGTACTCTTAACATGATCATGTCTGTGCAGACGTGCCTCGCTCAGTCGAGAATAAACATTTTATTTATTTATTTATTTATTTATTTAACATACGTAACAGCAACCTACAAACAACCGCTAATTGTACCAGAAGGTAATATTATTTAATATTTGACACAACATACTCAGGCAGTTCGGGGAAATCTCCAGATTAACATAGAGGGTTTCCTGTGGCGCAGCTGGGCAAACTCCGCGAGTAGCTGAACAAGCCCACCCTTGGCTAAGAGCTATCTATGTTCTAATGGGCCACAGCCAATTCAGGAACCCGATTGAGCTGCAGTGCTATAGCCCGTAGACATTTTTCTACACTTTTTCACCCACGTTCTTTACTCTCGTCCCTATTATTTCAATGACCTTCCAAAACCTTTCCCCTATAACACATTTTATGGCTGCTTATCCTCATTCCTTGCCTGCGTATATACTGCAATTATTGGAAGGCTCCCGATGCGCTCTGTCTACTACGAGTTTCGCTTTGTTCGCTACACTGGCTCCGCTCTTACCCATAACATAGCATCGGGCTTTATCAACCTTTATTGAGCAGCGGCGGCCTGTTCCTGACGTCTTTATACCTCACCCATTTAGCACCAGTTATCTGGATGTCCTCGCGCTGCCCACGTTGCTTCCGACCTGTTCGTCTAGCGGGATAACCGTCTGCTGCATTGCGTTTTAGGTTTAGGTTATCACCGTCGGTCTTTAATCAGCGTATGCTTTAACTTTGTGTTAAGGCGGTAATTATGATTCGCTGAAAGTTACTTTGATACGGTACCACCACATTATCTCGGCTGAAGCACGGTTGGAGCTTTAGCGCAGTCATGTTCGTCCGCAGCTGGAATACTGCCCCTTCATCTTCAGTAATTTGCGGAAATCAGACCGCATATTGCTCGAAAAGGCTCAGCGGCGGTTTACCAAAGTAGTAGCCCCACAAGGCCTAGC